AAGTTTGACTTACACGTGTAAGCTAATCAAACGCACCCATTGGTAACGTGTGCTCAGCGCGCGCGTCCCACACCAAAACTGCATAAACGTGTGAATGTATACCCACGAGGCGACCTCCCACCAAAGGACCGTCGTTGGTTCATGTATATATGAAACTTCCCACACGGAGCGGAAAGACTAACAAACGTCATTTCACTAGGTTTTCTCTATTGCCCCCTTTAAAATTTAATGGCAGAAATCATTGTTTAATGTGACTTGTAAAGAGCGAATCTCACGGAACAGCGGCTCCATAAATGCTTACCGCCATAGGCAGGAGCCAATGCATCTAATCAGTGATAGTGTTACCAAGGTCACTGGATTCGTCCATAGGCATCCCAAATGGTCTATCTAAGTCTTCGGGGGCAAATGGATTTTTTAAAATTTCTGTGAAAGAATCCTGATCCCCAAAGAAAGGTAATATCGCTTCCCAAATGCTGCCACTTTTAAATCCATCTGAAAAGGCAACGTGTGTGTGTGTGTGGGGGGGGCTTCCCCCGCCCACTGAATACATTACTGAAGCCCCCACCCATTATTACGTCACTGCCTCCATCCAGTACGTGTGGGTTGTGAGCTGCGAGTCGTTTGGGTTAGCTTTCTTGAAGCAGGAAGGGAAGGGGTGTAGGGATGGTGTTTCGTTGGTCCTTGTGTCCCTTAGACCTCCTACTCGCCTCTGAGGTTGGCCTACCGGCATCACGAACCTCGTGGCGTTCCAAACGACGGAACCTTGCATTCCACATGCCAAGTTAGTTGTGTGCAAAAATCGTATAGCGCCGCGTAGCAGCGCAAGATGGGGAACTTCACCATGAATACGCGTAAACGTTGCAGTGGCATGGTGCCTTTATTGCATTGACATGGTACCAGACTCTCGCGCGCGTTCTTAAACTTCAGACATGGGTGCATTGCGGCAAATCATAACACCCTGTTCGTCGAATCAGTGTGTATGCAAGCGTGGTGCCACTGCAGTAATGAATTGTATCTGGTGGTCATATCGGATGATGTAATTCGAAGCTTTCCTGTAATCGAAGTTTTAGAGAAATAGAAATAAAACTGTCAAAAACTGTTCCGTACGAAGCCCCATTGGTGTCATTTTTACCGTGTGATTATATTTCGCAAGGTGGTGCGTATTTTTCATTATCTTTTTTTTGCAAGTTATTATTGATTTATATTACTTTGGCAAATCTCTGAAAAACGCGCACGTATCACTTTGTGAAATAGTAAAAGTGGCACAAAATGGGTTTCGTTTGGGGTGTGTGTGTAGAATGGTCGTAAACACCCTCCCCCATTTTTGTAGGCCCAAAGCACAGCGTCTAGTTTCTAATCTAGCCCGGCTGTCTACTTCGCCCCTTCCGCCACACGCATACATTGCACGTGTCGGGGCTGGGATGGACAAATTTCATTTACAAAATGTTGTGATGGAAGTGCAGACGTCACAAAGCATTGTGGTTCGCACACTACCTAATCTTTTACATCATCTGTGTTCATTCAGCGCACTTTCACGCAAGCGTTCACCTGCGTCACTGTTCAAACACGCTCTATCCAGAGAGAGGTAAGAAAAAAATACGTTATGTATCGTGAAGAAATTAGCCCATCCCAGCACACTGCAGGCAAGGCAACACAATTAGATGTCATGCCAACTGGAACTAGTTTAGTATGAGTGAAGTCGGCTGAGGGTCAAAGGCCCAGAACGCTTAAATTATGGAGGCGCTTGTTTCGGCTTATTTATGTTCATATCTACTTTTTAGTGATGGACTTGTAAAAGTTTACCATCACGATCAGACCATCACCGGCCACTCCTCTGCGTACGCGTACCCAGGGCGCAGTCCTCGACTGATCACGTTTGTCATTCACATAATGACAACTGCGGGTGTGTGGTATTGAGGTTGTGAGGTAAACGGGGCACGGTGAATGGTTCGATGTTTGTTGTCGGATTACTCATCACGAAGCACGGAACTCAGACCGAATTCTAAATAGTATCGAATAGTACACATCGGTGTTCAGGCGTCCACCACTGTTGAAGGACAGTATTTTCAAAACTGCATTTTGAGTTATGTTATTTCAAATACCCTCATTTATTTAAAACTGTTGACTTCAAACCACAGAGACGTTATCCTAATAAAAACATTGTCAAATGCATATTGTGTGGAAGTAGTATCGACGCTTTTCAGAGATCGATTCCTAATAATATAGGCGTACTGCCGTTACCAAGCCAGTAGGTCACGCCTCACTTTCATAGGCGCTAGGCCCAATGAGTTTACTCAATATCCCATGTGCATGTGCCAACGCTTGTTTTCGCACACATGGTGCTGTCGTTGATGCACTGACGTGAAGTATTTTTGTACTCTTCTCGAACCCCAAATCCCACGAAGAAAACATGGGTTTTTCCGACTTCTTTTTCTACCCGGATTACTACGGGTTAGTGAAGACATTTTTAGTAGAGATGCCAGAATATTATAGCACAGAACCGGTTCACCCGGATGGATTTCTCGGGGAAGTGCGGACATATTGTGAGGCGAAATGGAGCGATCTGTATTTGGTTGTGCTGTTGGCCATCACGTGGACCATTCTCCGGTACCTGCTCACGTTGTTTGTTTTGAAGGTGAATATGATGATGATGAATAACTATCTGTACACCTGATGGTAAACGTTCAGGAAGTATCCCCTACAAATAGTACGCCTATTTAGTACGCCCATGGTAGGACTAACGTTGAGACGTTAGGCCTACCGACTGTGAATTATCGGCTTCATCGTGTTCATGGTTACACGTCATGCATGTCGTCTGTTAGTGTTAGTTGACATGATTGAGACGTACAATAAACCTTTTTCACATTTCTTGTGCGCAAATTAAGCTCAGACATTGTCAGAAGGCTTAACAGAGGGGAACGAATTCATGACAACAACGTTGTGTAGGCTAAAGTTTGGCAAATGGATGCTCGCAATTGTTATTGTAGAAAATTTGTTCCCCTTTAGCTTTATTCACTTAACTCGCGTGGGGGTGCTAAAATCAACATGGCGACGGAATGGGAAATTTGCTTGATGTTAGACCCTGTTGCAGAGTGTTGTTTTATTAATGATGTAATAAATCATAGATGTACGCCTTATTGACAAACGTGACAAAGCTTGAGTGACTAAGTTTTTTTCCTGGGTGATTGTGAAAGGACTTTTGGGGAATAGTTCCAAATACAGATGCCAGTAATTATTACCTACAATCTCCTATGAGGTGTCAGAAAGCAAAAACATGTCCAGAAAAGTTCAATTTAGGAGGGAAAAAAATCAAGTCGTTTACTTAGAAAACGTAGAATTTTTCAGACCAGTTTCACTGGAACTTTTTCTGGGTTTTAGTTTAACCCTACTAGTACCGGGCTGTTGTTTGGCTTAGAGTACGCAGTACTACAAAATACTATGTAACACTCTGAGCCTGAAGGACCTAGCGCTACAAATTACTACTTCTGGCTAGGTTTATTCCATTGTTACTCGTACACAGAACAATGAAACCAAGCATTCATAGTGCCACAGCACTGTATGGTACATTGTCTTCTCTATTGTATTTTATAGCTTCAGAGAATAATGACATCATGTCCTCTTACAAGAGATAGGGCTGAGTACTACATTTCACTACTAAGTAGTACTTAGGAGCATTCGGGATTGTTAGGGTTAAAGGATTGTGTACATTTGCAATAAACTGAATTACAGATAAATATAAGCCACAGGGATTCAGTCAACATGTACAAAAAGGGTGGAAAAGAATTCTGTATCTATGTAGTTGCCTGATCCCTTATTTCACCGAAATTTGAGACTTGATGATTAGACTTGAAATCAAGTCGTTAGTCGGCCGTGTTTGTCGTCCAGAACAATATGAGCTGGCATGCTATGTTGTTTTACAATTACATGTAGTACTGAGCAGTACTGAGCCTGTTCACTGTTGCCCGGTATCCAGTGTGCTGCACTGCTTCGGCCGGGAAATGACGCGCGATCATGGGCTGTTTAATTAATACCCGCATAACGACTGACTCTGGATGGATATTCATGTACATGTACATGTTTGCAACAACTGCACTGCATATTCATCTTTTCCATACGTTTCCAATAAGCCACTTGCAAGTTAAATTTGAATAAAATCTGGTACACTGCGTTACCTGATTGCACAGAAACGTAACAATTTGAATTCCCCAGACTAAAGACACTGTTGTTATACCTCATGATTCGGGGCAAGCTTTAGCATAGCGACCACCATCTCTGGGATGGACTGGTTCCTTTGTGCCGTTCTTATCCATTAAGAACAATGTATTGTTGCAAGGCGTCTCTTTTGTAACTAAGCAAAAGCTTGCCCTGAATCACAAAGTATAGCAACAGTGGTTATAGTAAGGAGAATTCAAGTTGTTGTGTTCATGTGAATTTAAAAAACTCAGTAACTCGCAAATGGCTTATACATGTAGTAGCCCATGCTACATAACAGACCATCAATTTTATACAAAGGGATGTCCATATTTGATTAGTGCCAGTTTCTTTCAAATCTTACTTTAATTTAATATCCCTTTTAATCTGACACTTAAAGTCCACTTGAAAATAGGTTGTGAAGTTACGGACCTGGCAACTATACGGTCATGACGGTCACAGACGTTAGTATGTGTTTGATAATTTTAGGAAGGAATTTCTACGGACACCACCTGACACCATGTACCCAAACCCATTAGACTGGATTGAAAAATTGTGTTTTCTAAGTAAATACTTCAATATTTTCACTGCTAAATTTGAGGACATTTGTGACCTGTCACCACAAACTGTGAAAGTCAGACTTTTCAAAAATTGAGATATTGGTTTTTTTTTTTTTAAAATTCAACAGAAAAAAGGCTTTCCAGTGGTATTAATACATGTACATGGAAGACTTAGGGTAGAAGTACATGTATAAGGTGCCAATGTGACATTATTCTGGCAGCTTTGTGTCATTGTTTCGGACATTTTTTCAACATTTCTGACCAGGCACGAATAATGCTGAGATAATGACATTTTTAAATATATGATCCTGCAAAACGTTTGGAATTTGTTTTACATAAAAGACTGGTCACTCTTTTCAAATATTTCAAAACCCCCCAAAATGGACCTCCACTTCAATATGACTTTGAACCTTCAAAATAGGTGAAAGCAGGATGCAACTTTATGTTCATTTTGTCATGATGGGTCACATTTTATTACTTTCAGATGGCTTATAAGTCACTGCAGGGAAAACTGAGCGGTGTCCATTTGTGGAATTCTTGCCGAATTTTACAGTTCAAGCCAAAGGATAGATGATTGATATGAGACTTACATGTACCACAAGAGGGTTGGAGAGCATCTTGCCGGCTCTATAAAATGGCCAAAAATTAGATTAAATTATCCTGTTTTTGGCGCATGATGATCACCTGGTGATTGCACGAAGGTTGCCGTTTTGTGTTGTAGTATTCATTGCTCATGATGTCATGACCGTTTGAGGACCATTCCTTTTTTGTGTGTAGGGAGTATACGTGTTCAGTCCATTGTTACATGCGGAGAACGCACGGCAGAAGAAAATCAAAAGACGGGATCATGGGCAAAGGACAAAAAGGAACTAATTTGGAATAACATTTAATTATAAACTTAAAACCAGCAAAGCAATAAGTTTAAGCAAAGTAAATCTAGTGTTTTATTTTCTCATGCAAAAACACCGTGAATTTGGACAAGCAAAAGCATAAAAGTAAAAATGTTTACATCAGGGCAGCCAAGTACAATTATACAGTGAAAATTAGCATGCCGGCAAAAACATGTTAATGCACAAAGAGGCAAATTATATTCGGCCGAGCATAATTACCATAAGCAATTACCACAAGCAAGCATCTCCACACCCTGCGCCAGAACAGCCCAGCTCAGACAGGTTGGTCACTGTTGGTCTTCAAGGTTCGGCTTCTTTATGGAGCCACGACACTCAAGGGTCTGGTCCCACAGCTGTGTCAGCCTCTGCCACAATCTGGCAATGAAGAGGAGAAGACGGCACGGAGGTGCTGACCCAACTCTGGCTGTTTTGGAATGCACATACTAAGAGCATATACAGTAAAATCTTGATAACTCAAAGTCGGTTGACTCGAAACTCTGCTTAATTGGAAGAATAATTAATTCCCGCCAAAAGAATAGGCTCTTATGAACAAGAACATATCCGTAACACGAACTGCTCACGTTGCCGGATTCATTTACCTCGAAGTTTTTGTGTAAGCAGATCCAAAAGAAACTGCCTCCAAAATACTTCCAGCAAGCGTAAACAGAATGCGGGTGTAGTTCTGAATCATTTCTGACACGCACACTTCATCTTTTCACACCGGAACACTTGCAAGCGCGCTACAGTGACGATCGATCTAGACACGTAAACCATACTGTGACTGCAAAATCCGACTTGCAGGAATTGGCCCAATGGTTACAGTGGGCCCATTGTAGCCAGTGCGTCAGCAGGCCAACTGATGGCTCTTTGCGGTGGCTGCGGCAATGCATTGGAGATCTTTGTGTATGCGTCACATGTACGGAAGTTAAGTCTGGCCTAATGGTCTGGCCCAACTGCTTGCGCTCGCCCTTGCGATGGCTGCCCAATTAGAGCCACGAATCACAGTATGCTCACGTGCAGTGGACCAACCACGTGACTGCAATGCAGAGCTTTTGCGTAGCCAAATCTCACTCCCCAAAAATAAAAAGTTTGAAAATAAAGAACAAACAACAACAAAAAAAACAGACACCAATAGCATTTTTGTTTTTACGAAATTTTATTGAAGTGACAAAAAGGTGCGCCCTCATGTGATGAAAAAAGTTTTCTGACTCATCGGGAAACCCTGCCCGAGTACGCATGTGCTAGGCTCTGCGTTGCGGGGCGATATCAGAAAAGGGACCACCACAATGCGTAACACATTCAGAATGCAAAAGAAAGATTTGCCACACAAAGGTACACAGTTTAAATGATTGACAGTACATGTAATGTGTTACATGTATTTATCAGCCGATTGACAACAAAAATCCTCCACAAAAATGTCTTTCTATGAACAAAAACTTGTGGCACCGAAATGTATAAAATAACCACAATGTCATTTCAAAAGTCATCGGGAGATTTACGGTAATTGTGCATCAGCGTATAGGTACATGTTATGATACACATCGTAATATTGACTTAACTTCAAAAGAAATTGGAACCTTCTTTTAACTCGAATTATGGATTACTGAAATTTTTTGTCCATTCCCCAGATATTCAAGGTATTGAGATTTTACTGTACATGTAGGCACTGACTGAGAACAAAACAAATGACTATGGAGTCTTTTAGAGGTTTTTAAAACGTGCGTAATTTCCACACATACCTTTTTGGGGAGACACAAGGATTGGGATCAACTGGGATCGTAACACCATTCATTTGGGTGTACAGTCTGCATGGTACAGTATGCAGTTCCGAGTGCTCAGGATTGAGTTGAGAGCCAAGGTGTAGAGCCGGCTGCAGCATGGGTGGTGCGCTCAGCCCTCCTTTGATTCTCATGAATTCAAGGACCTGACATTGTGCTTGAAAATAAGTTTGGTTACACTCACAGGGCAATGATTTTTGTCTTTCTGTGTTCTAT